TATTATATAGGATTTTTTTTAAAGATATGTTTTTAAACTAACTAGACAGTGTCTTTTTCTGTGTGTATACTTAACACACTATCAAATGTCTTTTTTTAATGCTTTTTGTTTTATAATCCTACTGATGATATGTGTCTTTATTTTAGAGAGAGACGAAGGGAGAGAGAAAAACATTGATCAGCTGCCTCTAACGGGGAATCGAACCTAGACCTAGGTATGAGCCCTGACTGGGAATTGAACCCAGGACCCTTCGATGCACAGGACAAAGCTCCAACCAACTGAGCCACGTTGGCAGGGCCCAGTGTGTGTCCGGATAGGCCTGTGCTGGTGGTACTTTCAATGGCCACTAACCTTGGCCGGCATAGTATGGGGGTTGTACATTGGCATGGAAGTTTAAAGCAGGCTCTTGGTGCACAGCACAAATTAATTACATGTGAGGATGGTGATGTTTTCATCTTCAGTTGTCTCTGATGCAGCTTTTATTAAACAATTGTTGTTCTCTTAACTGAATACCACTCTCTAATTGCAAAAAAAAAAAGTTGCAGCCATTTTGTTGACATTCTACGTGCTGCTAAGTAATACAATTTTTATTAGTAAAAAAGAAAAACTGTTCAGTAGTATAAATCTACACAAAAGAAGATATAAAAAAATAAAAATAAAACAGACCCAGATGGTCTTTTTGGGAAAGTTTACCAAATCAAGAGGGGTCGGGAGGGCATGCAGGGCATTTTATATGTATTTCCAGAAATTAAAAAAGGAGGAAATACTGCCCAATTTATGGTTTGTGGCAGGTGTAAAATATCATTTGTAGTAAAGGCTGCTGCTAGTGGTCTCCTTACCGTTTCTCCTCTTTATCTCTCATAGCAAAAAGGACTCTGTATAGTTTCAAAGCAAGCTTACTTTTAAGTTCAAATAAAGGCCATGCTCCCCACCTTTTCTTGCAAGTAGGTGTAGCCACATGCTTAAGCTCTGACCAAAATAAGCAGAACAATGAGGTAAGTGACTTGTAATTCTGCCCAGCATGGCAGAGAACAGGCCACTTCTTCACCTTGCTGCTTGGAAAATGGATGAAACGTTTGGACTATACAATCTGGGGAGGCTGAGCAGAACCACCTACCAAACCAGGCCTAAGCCACCTACTTCCAGATAGTATATGACCAAGAAATAAACCCCCTCATTCAAACCACTGCTCTAGTTGGTATGTGTTACACACAGCCAAATCTGTGTACTAAGTAGATCACCTCAGATCCTGTTAACCTCAAAACAGAAGGCCAAAGGGAGAGGCAACAAGCATTTACCTGAGATCCAAAAGAAGAGCTGTTCAAGAATCATTGATTCGGGCAGACACTCAAATGGTGTTTAGTTTAGAAGGTGATGACAAGGATATTTATGAGAACGGGGAATGAATGGATCATCTGCAGCAGAAGCATTGTGCTGGGCTGCATATCTGGCGCTCTGGCCAGACAGGTCATGCTGTGCTATCTGTTCCTAAAACACATAGATAGGAAGGTACTGACATCAGGCCAGGCCTTGAGATATGGTCTCAGGGCCCCTTCCCAGCACGCAGGCCTTCTTTCTCAGGAGGCCCGGAAGTCTCATTCCAAATTTGGGAGACAAAAGACTGGAAAGTGTAAATAAAGAGAGTTTCCTCCATATTGGGGGCCCAGAATTTGAAAGACACATTTTTCTCTGGGCCTCCAGAAAATTTAATAAAATGTAACTCTTGCAGTCTGTACTGCAGTTCAGCCTCTGCTTCGGCAGGGTGCTGTAACTGTAGTCTGCTGGCCAGCTTAATAAAGGCTCTTAAATTTAAATTTGGAGTTGGTGGTCTATCTCGCTGAGTCAACCCATAACAGCATCACAGCCACCATGCTGCGGTTGCCTCTGGGCATGTAAAGGGTGCTCTTGGCCCTTCATCAGTATTGGGGCTAAGACACAGGCAAGCACCTCTGGCCTTGGGGCAGTCCACACAGAGTTCATAAGAGATGGGATCGGGTCACCGTCAGGGTGTCCTGGACTAAGTCCAGTCATGTCACCTCTGACAGCTTCACCTGTAAAAGGTGGGTCGTGATTCTTGTTTCACGGGGCTGTCAGCAGGACCAAATGAGACTTGAATGAGAACATGTTTTTAAAACTTTTAACATCGGACAAGCAGAAAGGATTCTTCAGGTTTCAAAAGGAAATTACTAAAAATCTAAATGGAAAGAAAAACCAAAATGCTCAGGAAGGTCAAAAGCTGACACGGGTAGTTTTGGTTTTCTTACCCTAATGTGACAAAATAAGCCAGGTTCTCACCCTAGAGAATGGCAAGTCTGACTACAGAGGGGTTTGGCAGGCGCAATGTATTGGGCACCCACCACCTCACAGCCAAGTGGTTTAAATACTAGGCCAGGCCAGGGAAAGACCCAGGCAGAGGGGCCCTGCTCAGTAGTACTGTGGGACTTGCTTCTGACCCTCCCTCCCGCCTCTGCTCAGTCCTTGCTCAGGCTGTCTAGTCCCTGAACTTGTGGGTAAGAGAGGAAGGCTTGCCCCCCCCTGGCCCTACTCCCCAGGGAGGCCTCAGCTGAGTGCCTGCTTCTGCAGTGACAGCTTTTGTCCCTCTGGGGCCTATCTGGGGCCTATCTGGGGCCTATCTGGCTCTGGGGCCTATCTGGCTCCGTGCCTGAAGCCAAAGCGCTGACTGCGGTTTAGATTCTCTGACCTCCACTAAAATTCAGTGTCCTCCCCAGCACTGTAGGTTGGAGCTTAAATCTTCTAGAAACAGGCCTCTAGCTGGGGTCACACGCCTTCTCATTTCCTGCCAGCTGTTCTAAAGTCTTGGATGGATGGAAGTGCTGAACTCCAGGCATGTACCAGAGCACTGAAGGGGGCATAACCCCTTCTCTCAAGGGGGCAGGAACTGGGTCCTGAGGGACAGGGCTGGGGTTGGCCCACCCGACACCCCACCACAACCACCACCACCCTCTTCTAAGACATTCAATGTGGAGGATTGGAACGTGAGGAGCCGGTCAGCGGAAAGGAGGCAGGAAGTGCCTCTGGTATTTCCGTGCATCCCTCACACCTTGGCTTTGAGAAGCTGCCTCCTCCACCACACCAAGGCCTGGGCCCCTGACTATCCTCTGTCCTATTCTCCAAGACTCCTTTCTCTCCCCTATTTGATCTGCTCACCTCAGGCTTCCATTCTAGTTCAGCTCATCCCGCCTCCAAAGCTTCCCCAGGTAGCCCCCCCTCTCTCCCCAACGTCCCTATTGCTCTCTAAAGCAATAGTCTGTCTTCATGGGGTTTGCTCTGAGCTCCCTGAAGGAATTAGGGGGTTGGGGGTGGTGGTATGTACTGACTCACATATATTTTAAGTGGACAGCTCAGATTTTTTGTCACAAGTTTAAATCTTTGCAGAGTGTATAAATTCTGGAATGCTTTAAATATTATGACTTTTTAAATAAAACTTTGAGTCTTTTAAATTCGTGCTTGATGAAATCTAAACATCACAATGGTGTAATGCTCTCCATTATCCATTTAAATATATTCATATTTTCCCGCCCGGCCGGATTGGCTCAGTAATTGAGAGCCGACCTATGAACCAGGGTTTGATTCCTGGTCAGGGCACATGCCCAGGTTATGGGCTCTATCCCCAGTGTGGGGCATGCAGGAGGCAGCCAATCAATGATGCATTCTCATCATTGATCTCTCTCTCTCTCTCTCTCTCTCTCTCTCCCCCCCTTCATCTCTGAAATCAACAAAAAAATATTTTTAAAATAAATAAATAATCTGTTGATGAGCATTCAGATACTCAGTGCAACTAAGGGCCATGGCTCCTCTCTCACAGAATTGCAATAAGGACTACATGGGACATACTGTCTGAGTCTGGCTAGGAGGACCCAGTTGGTGACATCTGGCCTTTGGACCTTCATGGAGCTGGAAGGAACTGCTGGTCCAGGGCTGACAGCTGAAGTATGGTAGCAATCATCTCAGGTAGAAACTATAGTTTAACTTTAACCCTGCTGTTTGGCTTCTGTACTTATTTGCTGTGTTTAACAATAGAAAAGTTATTTTGATTTTCTGAATTATATAAATCACCCCATTCGATTGAATACCCTATTGATTGTACTGTGACTATCGCATTGGTTGTGGTCAGCCTGGTCTTAGAAAGCACATTTTCCTTACCTGGGAAGAACAGCACAATTAACTAGAGGGCTCTAGTTAACGTGTTTCTGTCAATTCAGTGATCTGGAGACCCAAAACTATAATTTAGATAACATGCTGCTTCTGCTTCTGTAAACTGCTTTTTTGCAAATCAGGTTCCTCATTCCAAACCCTGGGATGTAATCAATACCTTTGTGATCTTTGCCTATATAAGTCTGGTGTTGCGGCCATCTTATCACTATGAGATTTGGGGAATGGCCCCTCATAGTCCCGGATTGCAATAAATGTGACTCTTTAATTCGACTTCTTGAGGCGTCCTTCTGTGATTCACGGGATACATTACAACATAGCACCCACTGGGATCTAGGACTTCTACTTCTTTCTAAGGTTCCAACGAGTGGAAAGGTGTTTGGTGGTGTGTGTGTGTGTGTGTGTGTGTGTGTGTGTGTGTGTGTGTGTGTTTTGTTTTTTGTTGTGTTTTGTTTTTGGGGGGTGGGGGGGGTTCTGTTTTTGTTTTTTTGTTAATCCTCGCCCAAGGATATTTTTTCCATTGGTTTTCAGAGAGTGGAAAAGAGAGGGGAGAGGAAGAAAGGAGGGAGGAGGGAAAGAGAGGAAAGGAGGGGGGAGGGAAAGAGAAGAAAGGAGGGGGGAGAGGGAGAAAGGGGGGAGGATGGAGAGAGGGAGAGAGAGAGAGAGAGAGAGAATGTTCATGAGAGAGAGATATATCAATTGTTTGCCTCCTGCACACGCCCTGACCAAAGCCAGGGATGGCACCTGCAACCCAGGTATGTGCCTTTGACCAGGAATCACTGGCCAGGATGTGAAAAGGTTTTAATGAGCATCACAAAGGGACTGGGTGAGGGGGAAACATTTTTCAAATCCAGCCTTTATTGCCATGCTTCAGGGGCTGAGGAGGAGGGAGAAGGCTCAACCCTGCTTATCTCTTCCCAGACCCAGAGGCAGCTAGCTGGAGGGCAGTCCCTGAAAGTCTTTCCCCAGCCCAGGGGCTGAGGGAAAGGGGAGATGTCTCTGGTGCTTATGCCAGGAGCAGGAAGACCTGGAGCAGCGAGCTGACCTCCAGAGGTCAAGAGAGACTCAGAATTAGGCAGGAACATCAGATGTTGGCAGGGTAGATGGACTGAGGAAACTCTCGGGTTCCCCAAACAGCACTGAGGGCCTGGATGCCCAGCGTCTGCTGGCTCCAGGGACTGAGACCCTGAGGTAGGCACCCCCAAACTGAGATATGCTCACAAAGAGGCCCTGACATCACCCCCTCCCCCTGTTCAGCATGATCAACAGAAGGTCTGGAGGGAGAAGTGAGGGCAGGGCCTGGGTGGGCAGGAGGCTGGGAAGAGCACGAGGGGCCGGGCATTGGGGCAGTGCCATGAGGGGACGGTGGGGGGTCTTTAGCTGCTGCTCTGCTGCTCCTGCTCGCGGATGTGGTTGGCGATGGGTCCGGTGATGGCTCCTATAAAGCTCCAGTACTCCTCAAAGTCGATGCATCCATCCTGGTTTTTGTCCAACTCCTGGATGACTTTGTCAGCAGCCTCTCGGCTCCTCGTATTCTGGGGAGGAACCTGGGTCAGCTATGCTGAGAGTGGCAGTCACACAGAGCCCCCTAGGCAGAGGCCCCGGATCTGGCTCAGGCCGGGTACCCCAAGAGGACAGAGGCCTGGGCAGGGTCAAGACCCTGGTTTGTGGGGTAACTCTGAAAGAACAGGGGCTGCACTGGGGAGGGACAGGTCCCTTGCGTGGGGGCCTTACCGTCAGCATGTGGTCGAGCTCATGCTGAAGCATGTTTCGGAAGCTGCTCTTGCTGATCTTGTTCTTGACCAGGATGTTATTAGACATGTATTTGTAGAAGTTTTCCACCAGAACTACAACCGCCTTCTCCTGCTTTGTGTAGCGGTCCGCCATCACTGCCTCACTCCTCGAGGGGCCTGGGCACCATGAGAATCACAGATGAGAAGAGCCCCTACCAAGATTGGCTGAGATCCCAGCCCCAGGCAACAAAGCAGAGGCAAGGACCTAGGGCCTAGGCCCTCCGCAATCCATCCAGCCAGGGGCCAGGAAAGGGAGTCCTGACTCTGAGGTCATGGCCGCTGCTGGGAAAGGACAATGTCCGGATTCATTGAGTCAGACATTCTGCAGACTCCCAGCCACACTCCGCTAGCCTAGCCTCCCTCAGACCCACCCCAAAATATGCAACAGGCCCCAAGGACCCTTCACCCGATTACCTAAAGAGGAGCCAGGCCAGGTCTGCCCCAGCTGGAGACAGAGCTGCCCCCAGCCAGCCAGCCAGAGGCCACACAGTCACCTCCTCACCCCGGGACAAAAGACACTCACATTCCCAGTGTATACAGCTCTCTGAATAACAGGATATGAAGGGACAGGTGGATCTAGTCTGAGTCGCCGCCCATGCCCAGTGCCCCCCCAAGTGAACCCGGGCAATGAGCCTCCACTCACGCCCCCAAGCCCAGGAAGGAGCTGCAGCCACCCTGCCCATCAGATCCTGGTGAGGGAAGGGCCTGGGCATCCACAGTTCAAGTCCCTGCCCCTCCCACCTGCTTTCGAAGGCCGTCTTCCTCTGTGCCCACTGCCCTGCCCTCACTGCCTACTTAAAGCCTACTGGAACTGCCCCTCCCACAAGAAGCCTGCCCTGCCCCCTGCCCTCCATGCCCTCCATGCCCTCCTCCCCTGGCTCCCATAGACTCTCAGTTGGCATTGGCAGGGGCGCACTAACTGGTACGGCTGCAGCCTTTTCCTGGGTCTTATAATCTCCCCAGACACCAGACATTCCTGGAAGCAAGGAGTGTGTTTCTAACACACAGCCATTGTGTATTCTGAACCACACAGAAGGACGAGGCTTTGGGGCCATTTTTTTAAAATCCTGGATAGACAATATATATTATTGATCCCTTAGAGAGAGAGGAAGGGCAAGGGAGAGAGAGAAACATTGATGTGAGAGCCAGACATCTATCCGCAGCCTCACATCTTACCCTCCACCCCCCCCACCCCACCCCCCCAAGGAGAGATCAAGCCTGAAAGACCGGGTGTGTGCCCTGACCCGAAATCGAACCAGCAACCTTTCTGTGCTTGGGACTACGCCCAACCAACTGAGCCACACCAGCCAGGGCTTAAAGCTTTTTTAATCTCTGCATCTCTTCTAGCCTGTATTGCTCAGCCCAGTGCTTTGTTCAAGGAAGATGTTCCATAAATGCCCTGCTTCCTTCCAGCCCTGAAACCAGGTGTGCAAAGGCCCCTGACCACTCTTCTAATGTCTGTTGGTTTTTGTTGTTGTTTGCAAAGATTGTTTTTTTTATTATATATTTCTTTATTGGTTTCAGAGAGGAAGGGAGAAGGAGAGAGAGATAGAAACATCAATGATGAGAGAGAATCATTGATCGGCTGCCTCCTGCACGCACCCCACTGGAGATTGAGCCCTCACCCCAGACATGTGCCCTTGGCCAGAATCGAACTCTATCCACTGAGCCAAGCCGGCCAGGGCCTGCCAAGGTTTTTTGGGAGGTAGAATGAGACTGGACCAGGATGCAGGAAGGAAGGAAAGTTGAGAGAGAGAGGTCAGGCTGGGGCATCTCTGACCAGGAATCCTTCCCTTATCTGCCCTGGTCTGTTATCTATCTTCCTGAGTAGGGTGATTTAAGCTATTTACCCTCTGGTTTGGGAGGAGAAATGCAAACCACTTACTCTTACGTGTCCTTGGTTTAGGGAAGATAAGATTTACAATGTGGCTGTAAACTGCTGTTTAACCATCTGTCTTAGTTTCCCTATTCTGCGTGTCCAGAATTTTTCTAACTTTTTTTTTATTTATTCCCTACATTTCTCTCTTTTTTTTAATATATTTTATTGATTTTTTACAGAGAGGAAGGGAAAGAGATAGAGAGTTAGAAACATCGATGAGAGAGAAACATCTATCAGCTGCCTCCTGCACATCTCCTCCTGGGGATGTGCCCGAAACCCAGGTACATGCCCTTGACTGGAATCGCACCTGGGACCTTTCAGTCCGCAAGCCGACACTCTATCCACTGAGCCAAACTGGTTTCGGCAATTTTTCTAACTTTTGACTGTCCTATAACAGGAGGCAGATGAAGATGAAGAAGAAGATGATAAGTTGGTTCTAGGAAACTTTTTTTCTTGTCTATAAAGCATTTACCTACCCTGTACACAACTCATTCCTTTTAAAGAAAAAAACTGAAATTAAAGGCTGTGTAAGAATTGTCTTTAGTTTTGTTTTTGTTTTTACTAGAGGCCTGGTGCACAAATTTGTGCATGAGTGGGGTCCAGCCAGCCCGCCCTGATCAGGGCGATTGGGAGCTGGGAAGCTGGAGGGAGGGGCTGCTGGTGGTTGGCTGGCCCCGACCCTGGTTGAACTCCTGGTTGAACTCCCAGTCTAGGGGACAATTTGCATATTAACTATTTATTATATAGGATATTTTTTTAAAAGATTTGTTTTTAAATAACTATACAGTGTCTTTTTCTGTGTGTATAATTAACACACTACCAAATGTCTTTTTTAAATGCTTTTTGTTTTATAATCCTACTGATGATATGTGTCTTTATTTATTTTAGAGAGAGACGAAGGGAGAGAGAAAAACATTGATCAGCTGCCTCTAATGGGGAATCGAACCTAGACCTAGGTATGAGCCCTGACTGGGAATTGAACCCAGGACCCTTCGATGCACAGGACAAAGCTCCAACCAACTGAGCCACGTTGGCAGGGCCCAGTGTGTGTCCGGATAGGCCTGTGCTGGTGGTACTTTCAATGGCCACTAACCTTGGCCGGCACAGTATGGGGGTTGTACATTGGCATGGAAGTTTAAAGCAGGCTCTTGGTGCACAGCACAAATTAGTTACATGTGGGGATGGTGATGTTTTCATCTTCAGTTGTCTCTGATGCAGCTTTTATTAAACAATTGTTGTTCTCTTAACTGAATACCACTCTCTAATTGCAAAAAAAAAAAAAAAAGTTGCAGCCATTTTGTTGACATTGTAAATGCTGCTAAGTAATACAATTTTTATTAGTAAAAAAGAAAAAAGTAGTATAAATCTACACAAAAGAAGATATAAAAAAATAAAAATAAAACAGACCCAGATGGTCTTTTGGGGAAAGTTTACCAAGTCAAGAGGGGTCGGGAGGGCATGCAGGGCATTTTATATGTATTTCCAGAAATTAAAAAAGGAGGAAATACTGCCCAATTTATGGTTTGTGGCAGGTGTAAAATATCATTTGTAGTAAAGGCTGCTGCTAGTGGTCTCCTTACCGTTTCTCCCCTTTATCTCTCATAGCAAAAAGGACTCTGTATAGTTTCAAAGCAAACTTACTTTTAAGTTCAAATAAAGGCCATGCTCCCCACCTTTTCTTGCAAGTAGGTGTAGCCACATGCTTAAGCTCTGACCAAAATAAGCAGAACAATGAGGTAAGTGACTTGTAATTCTGCCCAGCATGGCAGAGAACAGGCCACTTCTTCACCTTGCTGCTTGGAAAATGGATGAAACGTTTGGACTATACAATCTGGGGAGGCTGAGCAGAACCACCTACCAAACCAGGCCTAAGCCAGCTACTTCCAGATAGTATATGACCAAGAAATAAACCCCCTCATTCAAACCACTGCTCTAGTTGGTATGTGTTACACACAGCCAAATCTGTGTACTAAGTAGATCACCTCAGATCCTGTTAACCTCAAAACAGAAGGCCAAAGGGAGAGGCAACAAGCATTTACCTGAGATCCAAAAGAAGAGCTGTTCAAGAATCCTTGATTTGGGCAGAAACTCAAAAGGTGTTTAGCTTAGAAGGTGATGACAAGGGGTGTTTATGAGAACGGGGAATGAATGGATCCTCTGCAGCAGAAGCATCACAGCCACCATGCTGCGGTTGCCTCTGGGCAGGTGAAGGGCGCTCTTGGCCCTTCATCAGTTTTGGGGCTAAGACACAGGCAAGCGCCACTGGCCTTGGGGCAGTCCACACAGAGTTCATAAGAGACGGGATCCGGTCACTGTCAGGGTGTCCTGGGCTAAGTCTAGTCATGTCACCTCTGACAGCTTCACCTGTAAAAGGTGGGTCGTGATTCTTGTTTCACGGGGCTGTCCGCAGGACCAAAGGAGACTTGAATGAGAACGTGTTTGTAAAACTTTTAACATTGGACAAGCAGAAAGGATTGTTCAGGTTTCAAAAGGAAATTACTAAAAATCTAAATGGAAAGAAAAACCAAAATGCACAGGAAGGTCAAAAGCTGACACGGGTAGTTTTGGTTTTCTTACCCTAATGTGACAAAATAAGCCAGGTTCTCACCCTAGAGAATGGCAAGAATGGCAAGTCTGACTACAGAGGGGTTTGGCAGGCGCAATGTATTGGGCACCCACCACCTCACAGCCAAGTGGTTTAAATACTAGGCCAGGCCAGGGAAAGACCCAGGCAGAGGGGCCCTGCTCAGTAGTACTGTGGGACTTGCCTCTGACCCTCCCTCCCGCCTCTGCTCAGTCCTTGCTCAGGCTGTCTAGTCCCTGAACTTGTGGGTAAGAGAGGAAGGCTTGCCCTCCCCTGGCCCTACTCCCCAGGGAGGCCTCAGCTGAGTGCCTGCTTCTGCAGTGACAGCTTTTGTCCCTCTGGGGCCTATCTGGCTCCGTGCCTGAAGCCAAAGCGCTGACTGCGGTTTAGATTCTCTGACCTCCACTAAAATTCAGTGTCCTCCCCAGCACTGTAGGTTGCAGCTTAAATCTTCTAGAAACAGGCCTCTAGCTGGGGTCACACGCCTTCTCACTTCCTGCCAGCTGTTCTCAAGTCTTGGACGGATGGAAGTGCTGAACTCCAGGCATGTACCAGAGCACTGAAGGGGGCATAGCCCCTTCTCTCAAGGGGGCAGGAGCTGCCGAAACAGGTTTGGCTCAGTGGATAGAGCGTCAGCCTGCGGACTGAGAGGTC